GCGGGGGCAGCCTTGGGAAGTGGAAGCAGCTTGTCTGGCTCAGACATGGTAGAAGGCAAAGCTGGAGGTGTACAGAGGGCCTGTGATAGTGAAGGTCTGAGAGCAAATCAAATTTTCGGACTTCCTGCCTGCCGTCTGGCAATTTGTATTCAAGGAGAGTGGATGAAGCAGGCTCTGCCAATAAGAAAGGTAGGAAATGCTGTGAGTGAAGTTCATATCAAATACCCTGAGATTTCTCAGAAGGAAAAATGTGCTTTCTGAATTTGACAGGTCAGATGGATTGTCAGCATAGGTGTCATGGTGAACCCAGGATGTGTGTGTCTGTAGGGGACAGAGAGACATGCAGACGTTAGACTCGTGGAATTCCCTTTGGGGGAAGAAGGGAGACGGGGACTAGAGGTGACGTGATATACTTACTTAGAGTGAGTTGTGTTTTCACCCGGCAAAGCTTTGACGAGGTTTGATGAACTAGCAAAGCCTCTCGTTCTGGGCTGAGGACGTCTGATCATAACTGTAGGTGACGGGAGACCACTGTTGCTCAACCACAGCTGGTTTTCTCCAGCTTGGGAACATGTGACAATGTCTGGAGATGCTTTTGGTCTTTATGCTGGGGGAGAGGGTCGTGCTGCTGGGTATCTTCACATGCACCCCTGAGGTGAAGGATTAGATGGCTCCAAATGTCAGGAGTGCCAAGGTCGAGAAGCCTGGCCTTCAGGGTCTCTGCTGTGTGTGGCGGCATTTAGATGCATCTTAGATCACAGAGGAGGAGTGTGTATCTTCAGCCACAGCCTCGCTTCATACTCTGTGGAAATAACAATACTGGGTCATAGGTGAAATGTGTGAACAAGTAAAAGATTCCTTAAAAAACAAAAAAAATCATAGTCCTCCAGCTACTGCTTTTATGTATGTTACCTGGGTTAGCTTCTAATAGCTTCCTTTCTTGAATATCAAGCAATATCTATTGGCAAGGTTTTCCACCTACCTCTCTTAAAAGTTAATCAGTGGCTTAGTATTTAAGGAACATGTCAGGTGTCTTGGAAGAACACAGGTAAGAGCAAAATAGCTAAAGATGAAATACATCAAAGCCTCTTCTTGTTTTGATGTTCTTGAGACTGTTTCCAGTGACTGTTTCCATTTTCCAGGGGAAGATATATTCTTAAACCTTTCTGTCCATAGTGTCAGGGTAGAAACACACTTTCCTTTAGAAAAGCCTTAACTCTTTGTAAAAACAATCAAAACAAATCAACAAAGGAGAGACCGGCTATAGAGAAGTGAGCCTTTTAGTCTTACTTGAAGGTGGCCTTATCTAAATAATTATGTATTAAAGAAAACAGAGTATGTATTGAGTAATATTTATTTGGAACAAGGGCAAGAAACCAGAAACATCCATCTATTTTATACAACAGAGAAAAAGACAGTGCATCAGCTTTACCTAGCTACGCAGCCACCTTGTCACACTGTCCCCCAAAAGAGAACATACAGGAAATACTCACTGCTACCATAAAACGGGAGCATCACTGTCTTTTTGAAAATTTCCTTTCCTGCATAAAACCAGAAATTTGTTACAGTTCGGCAGCTTGGAGATAGGGATATTTTGTGTTTTGCTAAGTCAGGAAGGCATGGGGCTTTTTAAAGAATTTCATTTTAAAAATAGAAGTGACAAGATAACTTTCTCATTTGAAGTATATTATGGTACTTGGTAACAGGGAGGAAAAAAAAATGTATTCCTCCTACAAACTTATTTTCCTGCGGAGACAAGACTCAGCTAAGTGGGCAGATGTTCTCAAGAGTTATTTTAATAGAACCTAGTTCTGAGTCCTTTGTCTCAGCTTACAGCCCCACCCATAGTGCACTCCAAGCTGACACTTGCAGGCTGTTCAATACTCTCTTCTCTGTCAGGTCAACCCCCCGCCTGGTTTTCCCCTTCACAAGAGTTCTTTCCTCAGTGCTTAACTCCGAAAGGAATTTGAAACTTGTATTTTGGCTACCGGGGTGGCCCTTACTGTGTGTCTGTTTTCTGAAAGAACATTGGGGATTAAGTCTTTCACAGAAACCTTTCTCCTGGATACAGCCTGTACTTAGGGGACCCCCTCCCTCTTTGTGTTCTATCAAATAGGAACAGGGTTTCTTTTTTTACAAGTAGCAGTGTTTTACATTCCAGGAGTCAGCTGTGAATCTGTCTTTAGAAATTCCTCTCTGTGTTTTCCAATTAAATGAAAGGATCGTGGTAAAGGATTTCGTAGGGTCTTGATGGTATCAATATATGCTTCTTTTATTGATTAAAATAAATTACAGTTCAGTCTTTAAACAAAACACTAGGCAATTCAGTAGTTAGGAATTGGCCTCTTTGTCTGTGATGAATGCCTGAATCCATCATCTTTCCCCCTCAAGATCCTTTCTTAGATTTGTCATCAGCATTGTCTTGGATCCCCATGATCCAGTGAGGCGGTACTAGCACTTCTCTGCTCTCAAGGTGAGATAATTGGATTTCATCCATTTCCTCTGCAGGGAGTTTATTCCTGGACTTCTTACCTCACTTCACCTCAGCTGGTCTTTTCTCTCAGATTCCTTTTTGTTCTACATGATCTCTTATCTTCTAGGGACACAGGTTTCCTGGCTGAGGGAAGGTCACAAGCTTTTCAGAGCTTCTTTCGAATCATCCATGTAGCTCTGATACCTGCCAGGAGTACACAGGTCTCCACTGTTGAGTGGAAGCAAGTTTGTCTGTGAAACAGTTTTAAAGATTTTTCTGAATAGTATTTCATGTTCAGTTTTAACTGTGTAAATATAACGAAGTCTGTCAACATTTCTATAACTTTTCTGTCCTGAAGATGGTATTTTAAAATGAAGGTTGGGAACCCCTTCTTACTTATCTTTACACCTACTTGGGACCAGACCAAGGCATTCAGAAAATAAGGAATGACTAGTCAGCACTATGAATATAGTCAACTCTGTGGAGCGCTTACTCATCTAAACTATGACCTTAAACTCTGGTGTAAGCAGAAAGATTGATGGATGCAGGGTCTAGATTCAGATACTACTCATGGTGTGGAAAGCTCTGGTGTTTTATCTGGAACCATCTGCCTCCTCATCTTGCTTCTGAAGGTTCTGGGGACAATCACAAGAACAACAGTACATAAAAGTGCTTTCAAAATGACCCAGCTCTGTACAACTTTAAGGTGAAACTGTTGTGATATTGGGGGCTGAAAAAAATACAACTTCCCTAGACTTGACCCCAGTGTGTCCCTCCACTCAAGTTCAGTCTCTTGACACGATAAACCCACTTAGCGCTATGCCCTTCTCAGTGTTGGCACCTTCTGATTTCAATAGCAGTTGGTTCTTCTAGACCACAGACCTGCCTTACTCAGGCACTACTCTTGGTTTGGAGGGGACTTGCTGGGTAACACCTCAGAGTTGGGTCAGAACCTGGAATGGTGGCTGCGTGCAGAGAAGGTACAGTAAGTCATCACTTCAGCCAGTAATGGAATCACTCTGTTCCCTTGTCATGCCACATCGCGTTTGCTCTATTACCTACTGTTGTTGCTGCCTCTAGTAGAGACCTCTGTTCAAATGCCATTTGGCTACTTGCAAAAATGGGGACTTTCGGCAGGTTGCTTAACACCACTGGACCTCAGATTTCTCTCCTGTAAATAACACAGGAAAAAAGTAACCATGAATTGTAATGAATTTGAAATTACTAAGTGTCTTCCCTTCATTTTTAAGGTGTCCTGCATTCACGACAAAGTAACTGTTAGGATTTAGTCATGCCTCATTTTATTGTACTTCACAGATACTGCGTTTTGACAAATTGAAGGTTTGAGGCAACCCCGCATTGAGTGAGTCTTTCAGCACCATGTTTCCAAGTGCCTTTGCTCACTTTGTGTATTTGTCTTACAGTTTGGCAATTTTTGCAATGCTTCAAAGCCTCTATCAGTGAAAAGGAATATGACTCACTAAAGGCTCAGATGATGGTTAGCAATTTTGAGCAGTAAAATATTTTTTTAATTAAGGTATAGATACATTGAGGATTTGCTTTTTTAAAAAATAGACTGCAGGGTAGTGTAAACCTAACTTTTATATGCACTGGGAAGTCATAAAGTTGTGTCACTTACTTTATGGTGGTGGTCCAGATTCCTCCAAGCTAGGCTTGTGTAACGCCTGCTTTTTCTTGAACTTGAGTTTCAGAGTTCTGAGGCAGTGGTAGAATCCACTGGGGTACTTTTTAAAAAAGCAATCTGTTACTGTTTAAACAACAATGAAAGGTTAATCTACTTCCACCCCCAGCTTTGGACCTTTGTCCTCTACCAGCCTACTGCGTGGGGATCCCCTTAAAAAACCTATCACCATCTTCTTTGTCGTAATTTCTCATCTTTACCTGCAAACTCAGAGAACTGGGGTGCTAGTTTCTGATTCATGGGCTTCCAACATGAATCACTGTATTGGCAGCCTGCTGTGGGCACGGTGAAGGGAAGTCACAGGTAAGCCGGCTAACTGGCCGAGAATGTGGGCTTGTGAAGGAGTACCAGTGCTCCCCCTCTTAACCTGGGGCCCAGCTGACTCGGGGTTGCTCACCTAGCTGGAATGGCATGGAGAGATGAGCACCTTCTGGGATGAAACTATTGTCTGTTCCCAGTCTTGACACAATGACAGTTAACATTTCCTGACAACACAGTCACCTGGTGCAAAGTCAACCAGGACTTCTACACAGATCGGCTGTATCCTCTTGCCATCCTTTGGGGAGGCTCTATTTTTCTCCCCATTGTACAGGTGAAGAAATTAAAGAAGGCTGCACAGTTTGAGACCTTACTTCCTACATCATAGCCAACTGCATAAAAAAGAGTGTTTTTCTGCTAAATATAGGGGTGGTTGGATTCTTTCCTTATGGTGACACCCATACGCAGTCTTGGAAGCCAGTGTACTAACCTGCATTGAGCTTTACGTTGCCTGTATTTGGAGGGAAGAAATGGCGTCACAAATGTTACATGGCCTTTGTCTTCCAGCTTCCATTGTGATTCAGAAATGGTGGTGTCACATGGACCCTTGTTTGGAAGGAGAGGACTGCCGAGTGCTGCCCGATTACTCAGGTTGGTCCTGTAGCAGCGGCAACAAAGTCAAAACTACCAAGGCAAGTACAGACAGAACACAGCTGAACTCGACAGCTTCAGCCTCCTGTAACCTGCCCCCTTCATTGCATCCTGCCGCCAAGAGGGAGGGTTACGTTTTGTTGGTAAAGCATTGCCCCCGCAATGCCCCTCTATGACTCGGGCCCTGTGAAAAGCCCGTTTCTCAGCATCAGCCTCCATTTCAGATTTATGGAGTCATGACTGGTGGAGGGATCCCTTATCTTAAGCAGGGCTCCTGAATTCATTTGAGCTCCTTCACGGGCCGATTTAAAGTAAAGGTTTCAGAGCTGACAGTCCCGTGCATCAAACCAGCGTGGCCAGACCACACACCCTGGTAACTCACTGAAATAAACTACCTGCCACCTAGGAGGAGATTTAATCAGGCTGAAGTGGCTGAAGACTCCAATTCAAGCCTGTAAGTCGTGTTTCCTCCCCATCCATCCTCGTTCTCGTTGTGTCTCTGAAACACTCCATTTTCTACCCAGTTCTCGAGCCAGAAACTGAACTTCTTTCTCCTCTCCTGCTGTCCACTCTCTTAGGGACTGGTACTCCGCCCCCCCACTTTTTGCATCACCATAGTTACCATCCCTGGGTGGTCTCCCCTGTGTCTGGAGGACAGAGGTTGCTTCCTCATGTCCACTCTTGCTTCCCTTTCTGCCTGTTCTCCATTGAATGGAGTCAGTTTTGTGAATTGCAGATCTGCTACGCTAGTCCACCCCCGAATCTCTGAGTGGCTTCTCTGTTCCTTAGCTCACCTCTGCTTGTGTGGCCCTCACTAAATAACTCTGCAGGGTACCTACCTTCGTTCTTTCTGCTCCAGCCATCTCAGCCTTGGTTAGTCCTTCTTCCTGTGGTGCTTTTCCAGCTGCAAAGGAATGCGCTTTCTGCCATTCTTCTCTAGAAAGAAACCATTATTCAGGGAATCCTTCACTGATAGGATTCACATCCCCTGACTCTCTGAGCGCATCACGTAAAATGGTTACAGTTCACACGCATTGCTCTACTTACTTGCTGGTCGCTCACCCAATAGTCCCAGAGCTGGCTGAATATCTCTGCACTGTTTATTGTACAAAAATTCACAAAACAGTTGAGTCGAGGATTCTAATGAGCTAAACACACTGGAATGGAATGACTCTTTAGTGCTGGTTACTGCGCCAGCTTTGGCCCCCCAAGGAGGTATAATCTCTCTTCAGTAGTTTCCCACCTGGCTTACATTTTTGCCCTTTATGAGTGTTTTGAATCACTCAAGTTCTCAGTCATCTTCAGCCACTGAAGGCAAGAACAGGTGAGTTCTCCTGTGTGTGCATATCAGGTATTATAATAAATCTTATAAATATTTACATGATTCATTAATAAAAGATTAAGTCTAAAACATACTATTGTAAAACAAGATTTAAAAGTAAACTTTACATGTAAATTTTAGCTGATCTTTATCTCAGATTATTAATAGTCTAGTAAGTTGTCTGATTTATTCTTTATTATGTAGGTAAAATAATTTCAAAATCAAGACCATTTTAACATTCATTACAATTATCAACTAAGCTGTCCTTGTTAGTGATATCATGGTCACTAGGTTAAATGGCCTGATCTATGCTTTTTTATGCAGGGCAGAAGAAGTTCATGGAGGTGGTTGGTTGAGGAAGGAAGTTAATAACTGCCATCATTTAAAAGAAATTGGAGTATAATTGCTTTACAGTGTTGTGTTATTTTCCGCTCTACAACAAAGTGAATCAGCCATATGTGTACATCTATCACCTCTTTCCCACCCCCCACCTTCTAGGTCATCACAGAGCCCCACGCTGAGCTCCTTGTGTTATGCCCTAAGAAAACCATAATTCTAAGACACATGCACCCCCAATGGTCACTGCAGCGCTATTTCCAACACTGCCATCATTTTTATCAGCTCCTCTTCTAACCCACTCCCATAAACTTTCGATCTGGGTAAACCCAAGTGTGCCTGGTAAGCAAATCCTGCCTGAAGATAATTCCGCTGTCTTTTCCCGTGGGCCCCCATCAGCCCCTCTTCCGAAATCCAAATCTGGCAGTGGCCAAGGAGTTAGGGTCTTAAATCCATCAACCATAAACCTTTCCTTTCTTCATGTTTCTTGTAGACGAAGAAATAATGTTTTACAAGATTATACTTGTACTGACTCTTACACAGAAATATAAAATAAGAGACTGAGCACCAGGCAGCTATGTCCTGGGACAGAATGCATCTCAGGAGCCGCTTGCTTGAGGGGCTCCCTGCTGTTGCCGTACAGTTAGCGAGGCTATTTGCACGAAGTGGGCCTGGAGGGCTGTGGGACCTCTGTGTGCTGGGACTAGGAGTTTGCTCTAGCGAATCCTCAGTAGCAGTGACATTTCATTTAGCACCGTGAAGAGCTGCAGAAGCATAATACAGTTCCCCCAGCCCTCATGATACATAGCTACTTTTCCTTTTTTGTGATACAGCATTGGAGAATAATCTTGGAGTCATAAAACTTTGTTTCCTTTAGTAATCCAAGTCAGTGTGACTTGAACTATATAAAACATTTTATGTCTTTTATGGAGCTTATGCACAGAGAGTAAATTCATTTGTGGAGTGATGACGGGCTTCGAGCTCACAAAAGCTGTGTCTTAAAATTGACACTGGACCTCACACCCTAGGTGAGACCACAGTCCCGTAAAGGTAGAACACTTACCTGTCTCAAGGGGGTATTATTAACTATATAGCAAAATAGTTTCCATTTTCGTTAACAGTCCATGCATGGCAGCATCAAAACAGAAGGACTAAAAGAAAAAGATTAGCTACTGTCAGGCATCTAGGTCCAAATTTTCTTTTCCACTGAAATGCAAATGTAGCAAAGTTAGCAGTCAACCTGAGATATGAATAGTCTTAGATGAAGATAGGAACATGAGAGTGGACAGCTCCCTAACCAGGAAGGCAGACAGAGTTGATTCTGCTTGTATTGTTTTCAGTATCCCCAGAGAGGAGGCAGGTACTGCTTTGTTGGGGGAAATCTAACTTCTCTGACATCCTGCCTTGATTTTCCTTAATTAAATTCTGAGTTTTATTACCTGAAAGTGAAAAGTGTAAGTTGTTCAGTTGTGTTCAACTCTTTGCGACCCCATGGACTATACAGTCCATGGAATTCTCCAGGCCAGAATACTGGAGTGGGTAGCCATTCCCTTCTCCAGGGGGTCTTCCCAACCCAGGGATTGAACCCAGGTCTTGCACATTGCAGGTGGATTCTTTAGCCACCAGGGAAGCCCAAGAATACTGGAGCCTAGGCCTTCTCCAGCAGAACTTCCTGACCCAGGAATCAAACCAGGGTCTCCTGCATTGCTAAACCATTTCTCCCTATTTGAGTTGTCGGTATTAAGGCTCCTTACAAGTGTGCAGTGTCTTCTTAGCACCACAGGCAATGGTTTGAAGGGCTTTTTTGTTGTTTGCAAATACAAGCAAATCATGTTGAAGTTTGGGAAGTTTTAGATTTTTACATGTTCCTAATTTTAAGACCTCTAAGAGTAAAGAAGTATGCGTTGAGAGTGGTGATTCCCACGGAGGAACAGTTTTGTCCTCAAGGAGATATTTGGCAATGTCTGAGGATGTTTTTAGTTGTCACACACTGGGGAGGGGGTTGCTGTGGGCTTCTGTGGTTAGAGGCCAGAGATGCGGCTCAACATCCTACAATACACAGGGCCGTCCCCACGACAGAGTTATATAGCCCCACATAGCAGTGGTGCTAAAGCTGGAAAAAAGACTACTTCATACAATAGGGTAGTTCTTTCAGTAATGGTGTGTGTAAGTATCCTACCTGATTCCGTTGCTTCCTTTTGTTCTTCAGAGTTTCTATTAAGTATCCAAACATTTGCAATATTTCATACTGGAAAAGCTAGAGGTAGGAGGTATAAGACACTCTCTCCCACATCTCCCTCTCCCTCAGGATCTAAGGTGACCGACTCCTCTGGTACCTTCCTCACTGGTCCCTAGTTGATACCTTTCTCCCTGGCTCTTGGTCTACTGCAGCGGGTCATCCTTTTCCTCCCTACCACCATGTTAGAATTGTTTGATGATACCAGTGGCTGTAGAACAATCATCATGGGAACTTTTTAAAAACACAACTATTTTGAGCCTCATTCTAGGATGTTCTGGGATGGGGTTTAGAAAACCATACTTTGAAAACAAATGTTCTTAGATTCTGATGAGCAAACAATATACCCCCGGCTTTCGAGACCCCTACCTGCTCTCTGTTCCTGCCTTCATCTTGGCTTTCTTTGCCACCAGGGTGAAGTCCCTGGAACCATCGGTGGATTCCCCTTGGTAACTGCTAGAAGATACAGAACATAAGCATCTTGGGATGGGCTTTCACAGCCACTCACCAGACAGGCCTGTGTGTCCACACCTTCCTCTCCATCCCCTCCCACTGCTCAGGCCTACTTGTCTTTCAAAGTTGAGCCGAGGTGACTCTTTTATCCTGAAGTCTTACCTTCTTTGATCCCTACAGCCAGAGCCTGAACTCTTTGGGGTACAGTGTTAATGAGGGGGTGGAGCTATATCGACACGATAGCAACCTTTTATCCACCAAGATAACAATGCACCTTCCACTTACAATCAGCAAGACAAAAATTTTCAAAGCAGCTAAATCTGAAAGTACCTTATCCAACCGTCAGTGCAGAAAGGTTCCCAAACGGGTTGGGTGTGGAGAATGAGCTTCCTCAAATAAGATGCTTTTGAGAATTCCATCCTAGATGTAGACTGCTACTTGGCTGACTAGCAAGATGTTTGTGTTTGAAACAAATGCATGAAAGAAAGATCCAGGAAGACCTACCATGACAACAGTCACTGTTCCTTGAGCACTAACCCGACAGGCAGCGAGCACACCCTCTCACAACAACTTCAGGAGGGTAGATGCTACTGGTTTTCATTTAGCAGATGAGGACCCTGAGGCTGAGTGAGCGTCGACCCGAGAGTTGTCCCCGATGACTTTCTCGCACACCCTGTGTTGGTCACAGTCCTGCTGGCTCCCCTTCTTACCACTTCAGCCCAAGAGGTCTCTCTTGAGTTGACAGCCTGGAACCACACTTCCTGTCTCATCTCTGTGTCTCCCTCAGAAAAAGGCCGAAATCCTTGCGTTTCCCTCTCCCTGGACAGGTCTTCCCTCAAGTAGTCAGGGCTCCATTCTGTCTGTTAAGTTTCTCTGTAGGTACCTCCTTCCCCGACAAGCCTCTGTGAAATAGCAGCCTTCTCCCCTCCCTGCCGCAGTCCTGGGCTCCATAGACCATATCACCTTTTGCTATACTTTTAATTTACCTGTGTGTCCAGCCCTTCTCCTCTAGACTAGCTATCAGCAAGCTATGTCTTACAAGCCAAATCCAGTCCTTAGCTCACAGGTCGTTAAAACAGCAGAGAAAGAATGAGTTGCACTTTTTTAAAAAAATGGTTGGGGTAAAAACCAAAAGGAATATGTATTTCTTAACACGAAAATTGTGTGAATTTCAATTTGAACATCCAAAAATCAATATTATTGGGACCTAGCAATGGCCATTGGTTTATGTATTGCCTTTGGCTGCTTTCGTGGTATAAAGCTGAGTAGAGCAGATACAACAGCGACTGTGTGGCCTGCAAAACTGAAAATATTTTACTGTTTGGTGTTCTACCCCATTTGAGCTAAGTTTCATGAGGAAAGGGTTTTAATACTATTTGTGCTGAGACTACTATATAGCAAACAAAAGAGCAGTTGTAGAATACATAAATAAAGGACTATGTCAGTTAAAAGCATATCTGAAGTTTGAATACATACCTGATTGGATGATTACTATCAAGCAGTCATGATGACTATGTGATCAGAGAATATAATTTACTTTAAGAGTATGCCGATGGTGTAGGCGGGTTAACATATTATGCTTCTATTTATTCCTAGGTGGTGTATTGATTATCTAACTTGTACAATTTATTACATGATGAAATCAAACTATAGAAACTGCAGACCCGTTTTCTTAGATCCCAAGTAATGGGAAGAAACCACACATTTTTTAATGGATGTAGGTTTTCAGAAAGGGCTTCCCTCATAGCTCAGTTGGTAAAGCATCTGCCTGCAATGCAGGAGACCTGGGTTCAATTCCTGGATTGGGAAGATCCCCTGGAGGAAGGCACTGTAACCCACTCCAGTATTCCTGCCTGGAGAATCCCATGGACAGAGGAGCCTGGCGGGCTATAGGCCATGGGGTCGCAAAAAGTCAGACACGACTTAGCGTCTAAACCACCACCACATTTTCAGAAAATACTGTAGTTTTATAAAATAATCTATTTTTGAAAACAAAAGTTAACTACCTTGCGCTTAGTGGCTCCTTAAAAATATAACAAAGGCAATTCTGATCCTGACACACACGGATTTAAATCAGCACTCATCTGACAAAAGTTTAGTCCTGTTAATAAAAGTATGTCTTAGCATGCGTGAGTTACCTTGATGATCAATGAATATACCTAAACTGCTGGGATTTTTTAATAAACCCCACAAGATACAGAACTAGGGCCTAATACCATGTTGTGGAATGTTTTGGGTGTGTTTTCCTCTGCAACCTAAAAGGAAGACAAATATAAAGAAGAATTTGATGTCAACAGCTGATTGGGAGAGGTTGGTTACAGATAAAGGGGCCCGACTATTAAAAATTGTACACATCTGACACAGACAGGGACTTCTGGGTCTGTTAAGAGGAAGGATTCCCTTTGGTGGGTCTAGGGTGCTGATGCTAACTTTTAAAATTCATTTCAGGTCACACGGTAGCAGAGAGAGCAGTGCCTCCACGCTGGAGGAGGGGCGGGCTGCAGCCCTCTCCTGTTGGGACTGCGGTCCTGGACTCCGCGGGAAATTGAGATCTTACCCACGTCACACTGGCATATCTGTGCTATGAATGGTGGTGTTTATGTAACTGTTCCAGCTCTCACTGCCTCACGACTTGACTACAGTGAGTTACAACTATGGGCTGCCACACACACAGCGGACATCCTACCTGGATTCCTAAGGAACGTACCTCCAAGAGACTCTGGACCAATAAACTGGAAGTTGGAAAAAATGGATCATCACTGAATGAAGACTAGGTCTGCAGCTTTTTCTGCATTTACACAGGAGCCCGGACCTGTTTCTGAGGGCCCTCATTCTCTTCCTCCTGTGAACTTTTCCTTCAGCCCTGTTGTGGGTCATCTGAAAAGGTCCAAATAACAAAACATTTTGGCAGAATTTTTTTTTTTTTTTTTTTTGCAGATGTAGATTGATGAACTCTGATTAACTGGTGATGAAAATTTATTTTATAAACCTTGAGGAATAGAAAGACTTATGGTGGGGTTACTGTGTGTGCGCTTGTTTCACTGCTTTTAAATTCTCTGCACTGTAAGGTGCTTTGGCAGGTCAGCAGAAATAAAATGTTCCCACTGTAACTTCTGTGTGCCGTTTCACCGAGTCTAAGGAAGTGTATCAACCCCAATAGTTTATAACCAAAGCCCTCTCGTGACAGATACACAACAGGAAGGAAACCTGCTGGGGTTTCTATGGCTTAAGTGTATGCAGAGAGGTAAATCATTGAAAATATAGAACACTTTCTGTTTAGATCAAGGGTGATTTCTTAGATCCAGTTTATGTCAGTCAAACTTTTGCTAACTCCGAGACAAAAGTCATCAACAGCAGAACTTTTAGACTGTGACTGAGTTAGCCCTACACCTTCCCTCCTTATTTGTTAGTTATCTTATTTTTTAAATGTGAGTAAAATCGGAGTCAGGTTTTTTTTTTTTTTTTGGTTAAATGACTTTGCAGCAGCTGTGTCTCCACACATTCCAGATGCTGTCATGCAGAAACGTATTACAGACAACAAGTGACCCAGATTTTAAATGCATAATGTTATTAAACAGATACCACTATAATAATATGGGATAAATTTTATATGTTAAGAAATGCCAAAAACATACTTTCTGTACTGTTGATTATCCCTGTCCTGTCACAATTATGGAAGAAAATAATATTATCGTCTTGTTTGTAACAATAGCAGTTACGTCTCTTTGATTTTATTCTTGCAGAAGGAATGGAGAAAGGTGATAGCTATTTGTTTGCTAAATTTTGTTTGAATCTGACTGACTAGATGCCTACCAGAATTGTTATTCTCATATTAGTAAGTAAAAAATTTGTTTCACTGATCATGTTTGGTGTACACAGTTTTGTGACTGTTTTATTCCATAAGACTTGGTGTTAACATTCTTAGGCTTGCAAATTTTTATTATAAATATGAAAACTTTACATAAAGTTTAATGTTACTATATGGCAATTTATGTATAGATCACTACCTTGTTTCTTCTCCCAAACCTATGTAGCAGTAAGAAGAATTTAAAATGTAGGAACATTTAATTAAGTTGAGGCATATTCATAATGTTTTACATGCATTCTGCTGCCTTTAGTATAAGATGTTCCATTGTAAAAAAAAAGCGAGTTAAAATGAAATTTTATGGAACATGAGACAACGTCTCAGTTTTTCAGTCACACATCTGATCTTTTACCCCAAACGAGACCAAGTAAAAATGACATCATTTCACCTTGAGGTTCATTCCAGGATATAAACTACTTCCAGGGAGTAAACAGTCCATTTGGGAAAATGGCAGGTATCAAAGCTGCCATTTCATCCATTATTGCTTCAAAGTGTTCTTTATACCCACTTCTCAAGTTAGCTCTGAAATGGGTATTTGAGAAGCATTTTGGTGTTATCATTCTTATTTTTTTTCTGGTAGGGAAGTAGATAGGAGTCTTTGTTTTAAATTCTGTAAAAACCCAGAAAAGATACCAAAGGAGGTATCAACCTCTGGCTCTCTGATGGTGGCGCAAGTGGTCTCAACACCTGAGAGACATTTGGTTCTTGCATCGTGGGACTCTGAGCTGCCCTGCTAGGCCTCTGCAGGCAGACAGGGCCTCTCCTAAGGGAGCAGCAACCTCCTCAGTTTCAGAGCACTCCCTCAGGTTCCACTGCGCTGCTGTGAACTACACAGACCCCTGGAGCATGTGCCCTTGGAAAAGTGGAATTCTGCTGACACAGTAAACTCAACAATACTTAGTGAACCTTCCCAAGCCCCCTCAGAGTTCTGGGGGGAGATTTTTCATCCTTTTACACACAGATAAATCTATCTAACCCTTTGTCCACTGTACTCTTTGCCACTGGATACACACATGAAAAATGTCACACTTCCAACATTAAAAACAACTGGAAAAAATATTCAGTATTGAACTTCAACATGAGTTTACAAGAAAAACTGTATTCTTTATGTATTTAAAAAAAATGGAAACTCACAGTTAACGTCATTCTTGACGGTGAAAACTGAAAGCATTCCCTCTAGTATCAGCAAAAAGACCTGGGTGTCTATTGTCACCATTTCTACTCAACATAGTTTTAGAAGACTTAGCCAAGTTGGTCAGAAATGAAAGGAATTCAAATTGGAAAAGAAGGAAAACTTTCCCCGTTTGCAGATAACATGATACTACACATAGAAAATCATAAAGATGCTACCAGGAAATTATGAGTGCTCATCAATGAATTCAGTAAAGATGGAAGATACAAAATCAATACACAGATGACACCAGCATTCCTATACACTAATAGGAAAAGATCAGAAAGAAAAATAAAGGAAATGATCCCATGTACCATTGCAACAAGACAAATAAAATACCTAGGAATAAACCTACCTAAGAAGACAAAAGTACCCTGAAAACTATAAGACACAGATTAGTGGTGTTAGGAAAACTGGACAGCGACATGCAAATGAATGACATTAGAACATTCTCTAACACCACCCGCAAAAATAAATTCAGAATGGACCTAAGACTGAAATATACAGTGGAACACTATAAAACTATTAGAGGAAAATGTAGGTGGAACACTCTTTGAAATAAATTGCAGCGATATCTTTTTTGAACCACCTCCTAAAGTAATGAAAAAAAAGCCACAAAAATAAACAAATGGGACCTAATTAAACTTAAAACCTTTTGCACACCAAAGGAAACCATAAATAAAACACAAAGCAACCCATAAAAGGAAGGAAAAATTTAGAAATGTGGCACCAACAGGGGATTAATCTCCAAATTATTCAAAGAGCTCATGCAGCCACATGTCAAAGAAATAAAAAAAGTCCAATTAGACAATGTGCAGAAGATCTAAGTACACATTTCTCATAAGAACACATACAGATGGACAAAACCACATGAAGAGATGCTAAATATCACTAATAATGGAGGCAGTGCAAATCACAATATCAGCTCTCAGAGAATGGCCATCACCAAAAACTAAATACGATAACTCCTGGACAGAATGTACAGAGAAAGGAATATCTCCTGTTGGTAGGAATATAAGTTGGTACAGCCATTATGGAAAACACTTTGGAAGTTTCTTAAAAAACTAAAGCTACAAGTACCATATTATCCAACAATCCCATTGCTGAGCAGTAGTCAGAACACAAGAATTTGAAAGGATACATACACCCCAGTGGTCACTGCACCACTACTGACAACAGCTAAAAGATAAAAGCAAGCTAACCTCACAGAGGAACGGACAGAGAAGACACAGGGCATATATATACACACGGGAATTAAGACAATGAATGCAATACTGCCAGTGGCAGAAAAATGAATGGTCCTGCAGCTTATCCTACAACTGTAATAAGACAAAGAATGACGGATAGGCAATGATATCAGTGATGCCTGCAATCTCAGAATGCACACAATGAACTCTTTACAAAATGCAGAGAGACCCGCAGAGTTGAAAAAGAAACTTATGGTTACTAAAAATAAAGGTAAGAAGACACGGATAAACTAGGGAGTTGGGATTACACTATTTACAGTAATGTATTTAAACTGGATCATTAGAATGGACCTACTGCACAGATCAGGGAACCCCACTCAGTATACTATGATAACACGTATGGGAAAGAACATGAAAACACTTATTATGTGCATATGCATGACCAGATCAAGCTGGTGTACACTGAAAAAGAAACATATGGAAAACCATCCATGTTCCCGTAGAAAATAAAAAAATGAAAAATGAAAAAATGCCCGTGATATTCCCCTCAGGTCTCGGGCACCTGGCCTGGTGACACATTTCTGGAGCTTGAACAGCCTTGCGTCCCACGGCTGGAGAGGGTGGAGCGGAGGCGGTGGGGGGTTGGTGCCAGCACGTAAGCCCCTCTGCAAACCGAGCGCCCGCTTCCCCATGAGGACCCCACATCTCCAGACCCTCACGGGCCCCCCTACAGCTCAGCCAAGCACAGTGCACTGCAGTGACGTGGGCCCTTTGGGCTGGAGAACCTTTGAAAAGACCCGTGCTCTCTGAGTCTCCTGGTGGGGGGTCCCCGGGGGTAACCTCCTTCCTGGAGTCACCTCTCCTGCGTGTGACTGCGTCCTCTGCTTAGGGTGTAGGCAGGGCTTGGGACTTGTCTGCAGCTTGAATTGTAAGGTGCAAGAAGTAATGAGTCAGGACTGGACTGTTACTTCTTGCACATTCCCTTCTAATCTACAAGTGTCTCGCTTAGTCGTGTCCAACTCCTTGCGACCCCATAGACCTTAGCCCGCCAGGCTCCTCTGTCCATGCAATTTCCCAGGCCAGAATACTGGAGTGGGTAGCTGTTCCCTTCTCCAATTCACAAGGCCTGCAGGGTTATTAAGAAAAAAAACAAAACACTTTGCCTTAAGGAATGTCTTGGGGAGGTAACTGAAAAAGAATTCAAAACAGGGTAAGTCTTGAAGAAGCCAATCTCAAGCGTACATTTAAAGCACAACATGGGTGTTTTGTTTTTTAAATTTTTAAACTCCCTATGCTCCAACATGGCTCATTTTCAGGGAAAGGAAA